CAGCATAATTTCTTTGATCAGCAAATTTCCAGTTTTTCAAATGATATGTACCCCAAGCAACCCCCCCCCCCCTACAGGTAGATATGCTAGTAGCTACTTATTACCCTCACTTCCCCCCCCCAAAGGGAGGGAGAGGGTATTGCATTTAAGCTCCATCTGTCTGTCTGTGTGTCTGTTTGTGGTGTGTTTGTCCTTCCAGGATCATAACTCAAAAACTACTAGACTGATTAACTTCCACACAATACATTGACAATATTACATGTATGTCGGTCTTTCCTGAATTTGGTGCTCATCACAAGTAAGATGTAGATTTTAGAACGTTATTTATATAGTTTTCGGTCGCAACTGACAGAGCCAACTCGAGCAGATTGTTTGAGCATGTCAATTGGTTAGGCCAGGCTCAAGCTGATCGACCACAGATTAGTGGACCGTCCATGTGTCAAATTCTGACTGGCGGGCTGGAAGCAGCCCGGAAGGCGTGTAAGTCTGAATGATAGGCTTGCCACATGAGGCCAATGCTAGGCCTCGTTTAGTGTAAGATACAGATTTTAGAATGTTTTAATATTTTCCGGCCGTATATCTCACAATTTGCTGTCCCATTTTTTTTTTAAATAATAAAATATGAAAAAAATGTATTCTATTTCAATAGATGTACAAATAATAGATATAACAAAATACTTTGAAGTAAAATAAAAAAAAAAAAACAAGAGGGAGATTTGAACCCCATACATTTGATTAACTTTACACTTAATACCTGCACCTTTCACAGCTCGGCTACGTTTCACCTAATATGTGTAGCTGCTAATATTACACCCCTATAATACAAAAACAACCAGCGGATCAAGCGCATCGACTATATACAAAGATATGGTGCAACAGGGCGAGGGTTTGTAATCTCAGATTATCTTGTTGCCATTGTTGTTATTAATGAAGTAGTGTGCTTGATTTGTCTGATCTTAACAAGGATTCTAGGTGTAATTTATGACTTCTGGGCTTTTTTTCTTCTCTAACCAAGTATGAAATCATTTATATAAGAGGGTAAAATTGCTACAGCTCTTAAGGTTCCAGGGAATTGAAAATCATTTCATTTTTGTGATAATATTTTTTAGATTATTGTCAACTACCCCCCAAATCAGCAATTAACAACAGAGGAAAAAGATCTTTTATGGAAGTTCAGATTCTCATTATCCAATCAGAAGCAAGCTCTGACAAAGTTCCTAAAATCAGTTAAGTGGAACCAAGCCCACGAAGAGAAGCAGGCAGTTGAGTTCCTTCACAAATGGAGCCCTATTGATGTGGTGGATGCATTGGAGCTTCTGTCCCCCCAGTTTAAGAACCCCACCGTTAGGAGGTATGCAGTCTCTCGAATTAAAGAGGCAACGGATGAGGTAAAAATGTAATGTTGATATTGTTCATTGAATTTCATGGTTTTAAATGATTTTAATTTGTTTTTGACAGAAGTTTCAAAGTGGGAAGTCCGGTTTAATAAGTTTTCATAGCATATGTAATGTATTTTGCTATAATTCCAATCTTTTTTCTCAATAGTATGGAAAATTAATCACATTTCTTATTCTATTTTAGGAATTACTATTGTACTTACTACAGCTTGTGCAAGCCTTAAAATATGAGGATTTTGAAGCAATCAAAGCAGGAGTTGAGGATCCTGCTGCAGTCAGAAAGGAGGCTGAAGCTGCTATGATAGAACGTGAAAGGTATACCCCTTGGAGCTTAGCTGAACATTATACCATTATCATACTTGAAATAAATTTCATATTATTTTTTTACATGATAACCATGCATTCAGTAATTTCTAACAGTCAGTCGACTCAATATATAATGAGACGACCTAAAGTTCAGCATGTTAACATTTTCAACTCTAATAGATGGATGAATGCTACTTTGAATGACATGAATGTGCATGAGTACTTTGTTATTGTTTTACAATAATTTCTTCATTGCTATATTACATAGCATTACCCATTTTAATGGATGTTCCATTTTTGTTTCCAGACTGAGAAGCTCATCCATGACTTCTGTTGATGACCAACATTCAGATGACAGTTCATCTTTAAGTAAAGATGAAACTGATGGCAGAGAAGAAGAGGTAAGTAATAGTAATATTATGCATTTTATAGAAAAAATTAAAATATAA